AGTTATTGATTAACAATTAATTTGATTCTTTTCCATCAATATTGGAGATAAAATTCTCTCTGCTTCTTTTAAGAGAAGTGTATATTTTATTTATGAAAGAAACAAATAAAAAAGAATTTAGTGAGATCCAATTTTAAATAATTTTTTAACACGAGTCTTGTATTTTTGTCCAAGTATAAAAAATAGTTTGAAGCAATGACTTCAATGAAATGATGTTGAGACCAAATATTGTAAGTTATCACGAGGCAACCGAAAATAGAGTTGAATTCAGATCAACAACTGTATTAAGTTTCTCATGACTTTGTCGGTCCATGTTAACACCTCTAACCTTCCCATCAATCCTTATCCATTCATGTGACCAATCTAAAATATACTTATATCCAATTTGACCCCTAAAATATTTAACTGAAATATTTTATTAACAAAATGGTATCAATCATCTATTAACTTTTAAAAAATTAACTATTGCTTAAAGAAATAGTTAATGGTAATTAAACTTAGTTTAAAAATCTATGAAAATAAATTTAAAAATCTTTTAGAGTTAAAGACACGGGAAGTTAATGAGAATTCTGAGTTTGTAGAGTTATTGAGAGTGGTGGTTGTAGTAATGCAAAATGTTTAGAGTTGATAAGAGAAATCAAGAAGTTGACAGCGTGTCACAAGAATGTTAAAGTGGCTCATGCATATAAAGATGATAATTTATGACCTAATGTTCTAACTTTTTTTTTATCGAAAAGATGCATTCATTAAACAGTTAAGGATAATACAATAGAGCCTTGATGATCAATCAAAGGGCAGACACTTAACCAAGTCCTAGAACCCAAAAATTTCCCAACTCTCACAAGATCATGAGCAATGAGATTTTTTTTCTACTTATATATATAACAGAGCTACAAGAACAATTCTAAAGGAGGATTCTACAATCCTTTGCAATAGGTTAAATGCTAGCATAATCCTTACACAAATTAATACAATCTACAACATTCAGAGAATTAGACTGGAGCATGAAATTTCCAATATTAATATTCAAAGCAAGTTGTATACCCACCTAATGGCTAGGCATTCTGCAGCAGTAGGATCTAACAACCTCTTTTCAGATTTACAAGCTGAGAGGAGAACATAGTTTACATGGTTCTTAACTATGCAACCAAAGGCTGAAATACCTTCTTCAAAAACTCATGCGTCGACATGAACTATGAAAAGGTTTCCCTTGGAGTCAGACTTGTCAGTGTTAGAAAAGAACTTTTGCTCCTTGTTCTTGTTTCAAGCATTAAATTCTTGCACCATATCTAGAGCCTCTGCAGCAACCTGTGAAGGAGTAGAGGTCATAGCATGAAAAACAATCGAATTCCTTGCCAGCCAGATTTTATAAGGGGTGGCACTAATGAGTTGGAAAACCATGGAATCATTAGAAGCCAGAGACTCCTCAAGCCAGCTGTAAATACCATCTTTCAGCAGAATTCTAAGGCTAAGGATGGAAGAGCAACACACAATTCAGAAAGATATGGTCCACCGCCTCAGCATTAGAGTGGAATAAAAGACAAGATGAGTCAAGAGTGATACCTTTTTTCCTAAGATTGTCTCGTGTGGGCAGGATGTTTCTAACCAGTCTCCATAAGTTTCTAACTTTATTCTGAAGAGGAATTTTCCAAATTAGTTTCCACAACTTCTGGTTAGGGTCCAGGATTTGAGCTAACGCGATCCTTCAAGCACAAATGATAGGCAGATCTCACTGAGTAATTCCTTTTGTTTCGTAGTGCCAGATAATCTCATCATCAATGATTCTTTGAGATAAGGGGATGCCTACAATCTGAAGGGCACCAACCTTCCGAAAAGAGGAGAAAATCAATTCTTCTTTCCATCGACCAATATCAGGATCAATCAAATCACAAGCTTTCCACTCAGGATCTAAGGTAGAAACATGTTGCAAGAGCTTGAAACTAGGATTCCCAAGAATACACCTATCTCTGAACACTGACACCTTCAAGCCATTTCCTATCCTCCATCTAGAGCCCTGATGAACCAGTTGTCTTGCACTCATAATACTCCTCCAAGCATAGCTTTGATTAAAACCTGTAGGGCAATCATCAATGCTACAATTTGGAAAATACCTGCCTTTTAGGACCCTTCCAACAAGAGAATATTCATTCCTAAGGGCAATCATCAATGCTATAATTTAGAGTTTTGTCACAAAAGTTTTATCTTTGATGGATTTTCCAACGCATTTGATGGACCTCATAGAGAGATGCATATCCACTATTTCATATAATGCCTTTCTAAATGGGCAACAATGTCGCTGTTTTGTTCCTGCTAGGGGTCTCCGGCAAGGAGACCCAATCCCACCTTATCTTTTTATTCTCTGTGCATATGTTCTTTTAGGACTTATTAAGAAAGAGGTGATGGATGGCAAGATTCATGGACTAAGAGTTGCTAGAAAGTCCCTAACAATCTCTCACTTGTTTTTTGCAGACGACAGTCTACTTTTTGCTCGCGCTAACACAAATGAGGCATCTAGGGTGCTAGAGGTCCTTCATAAATACCAACTTTCTTCTGGCCAAGTGTTTAATCTAGACAAGTCTGCAGAATTCTTTAGTCGAAATGTGGAAGAAAAAGCTAAGAATATGATTCGGACAAGGATGGGAGTAAAGATTGTGGTTTGCCATGATAAATATATGGGTTTACCGGTGGTTTTGGGAAGATCAAAGAAGGAGGTTTTCGCTATGGTTGTGGAAGAAAATCAAGGGTTGGAAGGAGAAGTTTCTATCTCGGGCAAGAAAAGAAATTCTGATAAAAGTTGTAGCACGGGCTATTCCAAGCTATATTATGAGCTGCTACAAGCTCCCAGAAAGAATCTGCAATGAAATCGAAGGTTTGATAGCAAAGTTCTGGTGGGGCTCAAGGAATAGAGAAAGGAAGGTTCCCTGGTTACGGTGGGATAAGATGGCTAGAGCTAAAAAGGACGGAGAAATGGGATTTTGAGGCATTAGTGAGTTCAATACTAGTCTTCTTGGGACGCAATACTAGAGATCTTCTAACTAATATGGGGTGTTTTGATAAATATATCCGTATTTTCAATGAAATTCCAACAGTTTGAACTAATCGGTTGAATTTTGATAAAGCTAGTGTTAGAATCTCTTTAGAGGTGGTTATTTAATTATTTTCTTTTTAATAGATTTCGGCCCTCTTTTATAAAAACAAAATTAAAAATTATTCATAAAATAATTAATATTAAGGAGTATTAAGTTAAAGTTATTAATATATTAATAAAAAATCAATTAATAAAGGGTTGATTCATCTTATACAAAGAAGAAAAAAATTAGTTTCACTTTTTGAGAGCATAATTTCAAACTTTCAAGAAATATATCACGGATTGGTAATATTAAATATTTATATTTAGTGAAAATTTTGACAAATGATAATTCAAAAATTAATTTTTAAACTTTTATACTATTTAACCATTTCACTAGCTATATGATTAATAAGAATAGTTTAGCAATATATATATTAAAATTAACATATTTAATCGTTTTTTAATAAAAATAACACATAGTTTAAATAAAATATATATATATATATATATATATATATATATATATATATATATATATATATATATATATATATATTATTAGTCATATATATATTATTAGTCATATATATATATATATATATATATATATATATATATATATATATATATATATATATATATATATATATATATATATATATATATATATATATATATATATATATATATATATATAATTATTAAAAATTATTAGTCATATAAATTTTGTTCAGTTAACAGTATTAAGTGTAAATTAATTAAATATATACGTTGAACCTTTACTTTTGAGTAAGATTTTGATCATTTTAATTATTTTTCTTTTATCTTTTTTCTCTTTATTTTTTTTTTATCTTTTTTCTCTTTATTTTTCTTTTAATCACACACATTTATATAATCAAAAAAGAAAATGAAATTAACAGATGATAAAGAGGGAATAAGAGGGAGAAAAAAAGATATATATCCTTTTAATAAATATTTATAATTGAAATATTATATTATGTCTAATAAATTATCTCAATTTTAAATATTTAATTATTATGTAAGAATTTCCATTCCTATCCATAAATCTAAAGTAGAAAATCTCCCATCTTCCCCATTTTATGCACCTAGTAATTAATTATTTAGTAATATTCTATTTAAATCCTTTCAAACAAATAAACAATTCTAACCCAAAAAAAAATACATAAAAGCAAATATTCTTCATTCTGTAATATTTTATTATTGTTTTAAAAAAATGCAGTGTTGTCAGTATTCTCTGTTGTAACATTCTGATTACGCTTCCCCTTCAACTAGCGTGAACCAAAGCCAAACCCCTTTGCTTTGGTCTTTCGCTAGGGTTTGGGGATTCGCCATTTTCATCTTTTACGCTTCCTTTCTTTTTTTCATCCCACACTTTCCACTTCAAAGGTACTTTTTTTATACCTTTCTTAACTTCACTATTTTTATTTACTTTTGCTGATATTTTCATCAACATGCTTCTTAAGTGCTTATTGTTGATTTTCTCAACATATTGGTATCTGGGTTTTCGAAATTGGAGATAAAGGTTTGATTTTTTTGAAGGGGTTTTGGTAGCTTTTGTTTTTTTTATAGTTTGATTTTTTACTATAGGAGGCTTATGATTGAAATTTAGGATTATTTTTGTTTGGGTTTTAATTTTAATATTGAAATTTGTTTGATCTGTTTCGTTAAGATCGATGTTTTGATAATTGTATAAACCTTTGAATTGAGTTTTTGATTATGTTGTACTGTTGATTATGTTTTGAATTAATTGGATTCGGTTACTTATAGGAAACAGAACTGAAAGAAGGGACATTAATGCGAACAGTTTTTGATGGGTTTCATGTGATCTTTTGTGGTTTTTTGGTCAAGTGTTGTGAGGAGGATCTTGTGTTGAGGTTGCTTTTGCTGAAGGGTGTAAGTCTTTGTGACAATGCCGTCTACGGAGAATCAGAGCTCTTCTGCTTCTTCCTCATTTTCGTCCTTTGGCAGATCGTTATTCGGTATCAGGCAGGAACAGGTTCATTCTGTGGAAGCAAGTCATGAGACAGATTCATGTAATTTAGAGCTTGGGTCGTTCCAAAAACGTGTTACGGATCGTTTTCAAGACCTTTCTGTGGTTAGTGATGATGAATTGCTATCAATTGATTGGATGCAGAAGCTTCTCAATGTATTTATATGCTGCCATGAGGAATTCAGAGCGATTATGTTGAATAATAAAGAGCAGGTATCGAAGCCTCCTCTGGATCGGATGACGTCTGAGTTCATTGAGAGGTCGGTTAAGGCTCTTGATATTTGTAATGCGAGTCGAGATGGGATTGAGAATATCCGTATGTGGCAAAAGCATCTAGAAATTGCGAGCTGTGCTTTGGGTTCAAATAAGCGACCCTTGAGTGAAGGGCAGTTTAAGAGAGCTAGAAAGGCGCTGATGGATTTAGCATTGGCAATGCTTGACGAGAAAGAATCGGGATCCGTTTTTTCTCAACGTCATAGATCTTTTGGGCGGCATAACTCGAGCAAGGATCAACATTCGGCAGGGCATTCAAGATCACATTCATGGAGTGTCTCTCGGTCCTGGTCTGCAGCCAAGCAACTACAATCCATTGCAAATAACCTGGTTCCGCCTCGCGCGAACGAAATTGCTGCAAACAGCAGGCTTTCGGTTTCTGTTTACACAATGAACTGTATTCTCTTGTTTGTTTTGTGGATCCTTGTTGCAGCTATACCTTGTCAGGATAGGGGTTTAAACCTTCATTTTTCAGTCCCGAGGCAATTTACCTGGAGCACTCCAGTTACTTTGCTTCACGAACGGATCATGGAGGAGTCAAAGAAGCGAGAGCGCCGCAACTCAAGTGGTTTGCTGAAGGAGATATATCAAATTGAAATAACCACCCGCCACTTGACAGACCTGGTAGATTCTGCTCAGTTTCCATTGACCGAGAAACATAAAATGGAAATTGAACAGGATTTGAAGGAGCTAAAGCTTGTTTTGGAAGCTTTTCGAGATGGATTGGATCCGTTGGAGTGCCTTGTAAGGGAGGTGTTCCGAAAGATAGTGATTTGCCGAACCGAAGGGCTTGATTCACTTGGTGCATCTAACTATACAGGGCAATGAAATGGTGGGTTGTTGTTGAACATGTACATTTTAAATATTATCACTAGCTTGTTTGAGAGAAGGAGAAGAATGATAGGGGAGCTTCACAGATAAATCATCTAATCCTTCTTGGTATTAATCTCAATACTCTGTAGAAAAAAATTGCTGGGGTTACTTATGAAATATCTTATGCTTTATTTGCTTAATTATATCTAGAGCAAGTGTTTTCTTTCTCTTGTATGGTTAATTATATCTTTTGTGGTAATCAAAGCATGAGGAATAGGGGAGAGATTTTTTTTTTCATTTTTTTTTCAATCCAATATTTTTTCAAAATATATTGACAGCGCAATAGAATGTAGAAAAGAAATCTGTGGGGATTGAGCGGAAATTGAGGCACATCATATACACAACTAAACATGTTTTTCTACACATTAAAATGCACTATATTGTCTTCCAACATTATTAAAAAGGTTGCAATTACCTCTCCTATCCTTGTAGTATTTTATTATCAGATTTCTTTTTTTGAAACTATGTGCTTACTATGAAATGTTCACCGACGTTATGGTGATTAAATTTTGTTGGAGAATCTATGCCTTCGAATGGTCCTGCGTACTATGTTGTCGATAGTGTGGCATAGTGTAGTGGAACCCAGACCTTATTGACGTTTTTGGATTGCTAAGCGCTATCTGCATAGTGGGAATAGCAGCCGCCATTTGTGAAGGTGTTTATTGGTGGGTTCATTAAATAATCACGAGTTTAGTTTAAGAGATTAACTGAAAAAGATCTCAATGACAGTTTTGTAAAGAGAGAAATGTAAAAAAAAAAAAATCTATTGTAATTGAAAAGACTTAAAAGAAATAGTGTGTATATTTACACTCAAACTCATTTCTCTCTGTGACTCTTAAAAGAAATATCAAACTCTCTCTCGGTGACTCAGTATTTTGATTTCTATAAGAATTTATGAATGAGAATTGCGACCCTTAATTCTATATAAGATATTTGTTTATATGATACTATATTGATAATTGTCGACAACCGTTACTTCTTCAGCGCTTAACACATACTTTAATATGTGTGTTCCCATCTGCTGGAGCGCTTCCACGTGTCTCGATCTTCAAAGATAAAAATTGCTAAAACAATCAATTATTATGCTAATAACTGTGTTGATAACTACTTTGAATCTCTTAAATGTCTCTGTCGAGAGTCTTTGATCAACTCTCTAAGTGCTGAGACATCCTCATATCACATAGTCTTTGGACTTAAGAATCTCCTAAGTTCCTAACATCTGGTAGACGTGTCGATTTCGACACTGGCCAAAGATCTGGTTTGTGAAACCCTTTCCAAGATTCTGAACATGTTTAAAAGAAACCCTTTCCAAGATTCTGAACATGTTTAAAAGAGGGAGTGATCCTAATTTCGAGGATCTATTCCTGAGACTCCTCTAAATCAGCATTTGCTTTGACTCAACTTATATGTTAGTCGAACCATTTTAGTCAACATAGTTAATGTGTCGAAGTTTTTGGTCGAAGCTCTTGACACTTAGCATTTTCAACGTAGCTATTATCATTCTTTGTTGATTTTCCTTCAACTTTCTAAGCTAACTGATGCCTGCCAAAAATGTCACTTTTGATTATATCAAGTGGAAGAAAGTTTGTATTTTTAGTAATTGCTCGACACTCTTTAGAATAGCCTGTATATGTCACATTAATTAGACATTTTTAGTTATCTTGACTATTTTTTATCAAACTGTCACATTACAGACGTGCGTGCAGATTTTAATCATTACTTTGATTTCCTAGGATAATTATGAAATTAAATGATATTAAAAAAAATTCTTTAATTTAATTTTTCTCAAAAATATGATGTCACACGTCCGTCTCGAAACAATACTTGTCATAGAAATTTCAACGTCTCTTTTTCTTTTCCACCATTTTCTTCACCAAAAAACCCTAGAAATTCCTTTGAGATTTATGTAACTCCCATCCTCACCTCTCCAAACTCTTTTTCCATTAGTTCTGAAGAATCAACAATGGTTTCTCGTCCTATTGTCAAGCGTGCTCCAATTATTCCTTTTGCTGCTGACATCTCAATCCCTATCCTTGAAGATAATCGCACCTACATCCCAGAACCTCCTATCGAAGAGGGAAAGAGAAAAATATAGTATTCTGAGGTATTGATTCCATATTCTATTGCAGGTACTACATGCGCTTTCATGGGTCCTCTGCCTAGGCACATTAGAAAACCTCGGCTCTTGGAATATTTCTTCCCCAGTTATCCCACATGTGAACCCTTAGTGATTATGAGTAAGCCCTTTGTTTTTAGCTTCGTAAAAAACTATGTATTTTGATCATCAAGTGTTACGAAAATGTTAGTAATAGTAAAGGTTGCAAATACATTACTGTAAACAACGTGCAACTTCATGTCATTTGTCTTCTCTTCCAAAGACAAGCTTCAGCTAGTTTGGAGTACAAATAAATAAAACATGCAATCCCCCACGTTGTACTCATGGATCTTTTCTAAGTCGATGAATCATGGCAAGTAGACAGCATCGACGTATGTTGCACTTTTGTCCACAAATATTGTCGTGCCAACCAACTACATGAAGTATGACCTCAATGCACATTATCTGTGGAATAAAACCTGCTCGTTATCACCTTAGGCAGTGCCGCAATCAAGTGATATTTTTATAGTTCTGCTAGGTATGAAAATCGGGCATGAGTGCCTTTCATGGCATCAAGCTTCTCTTGGGCCTTTCTTGGGTCATCTCCCAACTAGTTTACCATCAATTCAAGTGCCTCAGATTTGGTGATCTGGAAATTGTTTAACAATCATCCTCTAATCAGAAGATGCAGAAGGTATGAGACATCATTAAGGGTGATAGACATCTCACCATGAGAGATGTGGAAAGATGGTGTCTCCTTGTGTCATCTCTCCACAAAATCTGCCAACATGTCATGGTAAATGGTCCTGTATCCAATGACGCATAAACCTGTCAGACTAGAGTAACGAGCTATATCTTGAAACCAAGTGTATACATTATGTTTTAGGTTCAAAATCTTCCTTGCATGGTTTACAAATTTTATCGTTTCACGCTCTTGTAAAAATAAATATATCAAGATCAATCGCAACTCAATTACTATGAAACAAATGTAACATAAAAGTAAATAAATATACCTCTCATTCTCATGCCTAGCAAGAATGTTTTGCATATAGAGGAAGTAAGGAGGTGTCATAAGGGGTTCTTGAAAAACTATCAGGAGCGAGAGCAACAACATCAATTGGTTCTTTCAATTGGGCTTTAAGGGCTTCATAAGCTAGAGGGTCAGCAAGAGACACATGTCCTTGGGAGATCAAAGTTTGAGACACACGACCTTTGTGAAGCTTGAGACATGCGACCATGTGAAGTCGACGCTTCCGCGTCAAACAAACTAGCACTAACTTGTGGCCTCGAGCGCACTTCCATCTCCCTACAACAGAAGCATGTTGGGATACACGATTGTGTCTCAATATGTCCTGATTTTCAAGCATTGTTCCTATAATACAAACCAGAAAATCATATCAAAATCAATGCAAGTCAAATCAAAGATGCATCTTCGTAAAATAGAAAAGGAAAAACTGGAGATGCGCCTCCGTAAAAATGCGCAATTGTAGAAAATGCACAAAAATTCCCTAAATACCAACAAATGTGAATGCATGTCTATACAAACTACCTATTTTGTAAGTAATTACGAAACTAACGCATTTTAAACAAGTTATTTTACTTAAAACATGCATAACAACTCAAAAATAAAAAGAAAATGAGAAACTTACCAATTGAGAGTTATGTGAAAACTTGAATGGAGTGAATGAAATGTACTAGAATTGATTTGATTGCAATGAGGTAGAAGTATTGTTTGAAGCTTTAAAATGGTCTTGTTAGTTCTTTCTCACAAGCTCTGGAGTGTTTTTGAAAGTATTGAAATGGAAGAAATGGGGAGAGTTTTGGCACGAGATATATCAATTCAAACCTTCGGATCTCCGTAAAACTCACAACACATCTCTAAAAATATTTTGGACAAAATGGATGACTCATTCACTAAAATGTTAGGATATATAATTTAGGTGTGTTATCCTCTGTGTCTGTTGGAGGAATATCAACCACTCATTCACTAAAATGTTAGGATATCTGTTGGAGGAATATCAACCACTCATTCACTAAAATGTTAGGATATATATTTAGGTGTGTTATCCCCTTTGTATCTGTTGGAAATGCGTCCGAAAATCCATCTTTAAAATCTATGAGCTCTTTTGTCTTTTCATTGTGATGAACTAATCCTATGGGGTGGATAAAGTAACCCCGTATATTTATCAACACATTAAGCAGCTTTTTTGACATTGTCAACATATTTTGCTTTACACATGAAGAAAAAAACAACAGACTAAACAGTTGGCCCCAAACTAATTGATACATTGATGAATGGATCTAAAACGACACAAAAGCAATGGCAAACGTTACATAAGGTAAAAAGATGAAAGTACTCTAGAGAATCTTTTGAATATATCAACAGTCACTGAACACCATTACCTCTAACTTCCTAAGCCTAAAGAGCTAATAGCTTCTATTCTATGAATAAACATGGAACAGATATGGTACACTCGTTCTTCTGTTCTTTGTACATACTAGATTCATGTGCCAAATACTACTCACAAAAAAGCTATACTCCTATCTATCCATAACTAAGAGGAACTTTTTTTATATAAAAAACAAAACATAACTACTATTGAACAGTAATTTACAAATTCCAAGGTAGGTCCCATGATTTGTCTTCTGCACATTCCCCATTTTCCCTGCACATTCCCCATTCCCCATTTGTGATTACAGTGCAATGTTTTGAGTTCCACTGTTCAAGTATGATATCCGAATTCCATGTAAGTTCCCTTGTTTGTTATCTAAACATCTCTGGGAAAGACCACATTATGAACTTTGCAAAAATGTCGGACTCTAAGAATTCAATATGAGCTGCCCGTCCGATAAGTGTGTTTAGGTTCCTTCCGTAGGAAGATGCGTTGAAGTTGACATCACAGCGCATGACCACGCGATGGTCAGAGAAAGATCGGATTTGGTCTAAGCAATTATTTAGCATCTGTAGGAAGATTTTCCCTCGTTTAGAGAAATCCGAAGAAGCTGCAGGACACAGTTCTATTCTAGCAGAATGATACGGAACATAACCATCCTGAAACGTAATGAACGAAGCATTATGACATAACTTATCATCGCCTCAAGGAAACGGTCCAGCATTTGAATGTGGAATATTTTAAAACTCCGAGCAAAGAAAAGGAAGTTACCTGAGGTGAGGACAAAAGAAACACATTCCGAAAATTTTCCAGTGTCTTCTCCTACAGATGTTAATAACAATGAGACTAATAAAATCACATATTCCCAATGATCGATCAAGAAGACAAGGATAACGATATTATACCTTGGAAAGATTGTAGATGAAAGTATTCTCAAGATCAGGATCATCTGTAAAGGTCAGTTGATGGATGCATTGGGTGCCCTTAAACTTCTTCAACAGCCACAGCCCTGAATTGAATAGCGAGTTTGAACTGTACATATAACCCAAGTGTGGACCCGATATCGACACATAGGTATATAAGTATCTTAGATATGGCTCCATCATGCTCTCTGGAATTATTTATAAAGAGAAAATCACATTAAGCTCCCTAGTTCTAATTTTTTTTTTATGGATAGTAGCATCCTTCTAAACTTTGCGCGTAAATAGTACCTGCTAAGGCCGTTCTGACAATGAGATTACCAATAGAATGACCAACAAAGCTAAGCTTGATATCTTTCAAGTTTCCTCTTCTTGAAGCTTTATCCATTTTCTTTTTTAGGAAAGAGATCACTTCCTTAGCAAGCCGAAAACCCATTTCTCTGAAGTCCCCGGATGTTTTTTCTTCATTCGCCTCCGACATTAGAAACTGTATATCGGGGTCTATTAAAAGCCATTGGTTACGAACTAGCCGTAAATCTAAATGATTTCCCTGTTAATTTTGAGTGATTCGGGGTATAATTAGTATAAAAACCGAAGACAGATCAATAAGATAAAGGCATCTGCAAGTATGTGAAACATGCCTGAAACCCATGAACAAAAACAACGACTCTCAAAACATGGCTATTTTGCTGGCTACTCCCAGACCACTTTTTTGCGGATCTGGAACCATTTCCTAGCAGAACATGTCTTGCATCATTCTCCATAGAAATATAGCTTGAATCCAGACTTGCAGTACGGTACACATTTGCCATGCGTTCTACAATAATAATAGGAACAAGCAAAGGGTCTCCAAATAAATACATGTCTTGTAGGGAACGATTGTTGATCTGCATCAAAACCATACACATGTCATAAACTCTACTCAGCCGAAACAGGAAGATCATAAAGCATTCGAGACAAACACATCCGCTTACCCTCATTTGCGCTATACCTCGCCTATGAAGTTCTGCACGCATTATCGCAGTTTGAATAGGCTGAACAGAATAACAAGAAAATCATTCAGCAGTAATCAATTTCAAACACGGCGGAGCAGATAATAATAAACTTTATGAATCTTGTACAGCAAAAAATAGATAATTACATCATCGATCAGCCTCCTTATATTTAATGAACTTCTATGCAAGCCATGGTTCAATGATATCCCCTCAACTCTGTTGTGCAAATATTGATGAGGCATTGCAACCTTTGAGTACACCATCCATATTGACCATTCAGTTCTCCGATCTGTAGCCCATGATTTGCGGAGAAATTCTAGTATTTTTGTTTTGTTTTCCCTGAGTAAAGCAATAGGATCGAAAAGAGATTTTACAATAGAAACCATGCATTTGCAATTTTGAAAACTTATCAATATAGAGTTTTCAATATGCTATTTTGAAAAAGTTCTATAAGGATTAAAATGCCGAACTTAAACAATTATTTAGACATGTCTGAACAAACCTGTGGAATTTCAGAAATATATTCCAGAGATGTAACAGCTGATTCGCTAGACTCTGGAAAGAGTTTAACAGATGATCATCCCAAGAAAAAGGTTGAACTGATTTCCCGGTTAGATGATTGATATAATGAGAACCATCCTGTTTAGAAAATTATTTAAGTATTCAATATGCGAATAGTAGAATAAAACACAGAAGCAACAAACATTGACAGAATTAGGGACTTTGACACTGACTTCTTCTCCATCAAGCAGCTGAACTGATTGTTCACCATCAATACTTTTGACGTCACGTGCTGGCAGAGGCGAATCAAACCATTTTGTATCATCTGATTCAAACACAATTTCAGCTAAATCAATCGCTTGGTTAATGCCGGTGCTTAATCTTCTCAGATCTTCAAGCAGGATATCATGTGCAGCCATCAATGCTTTGATGAGCATCACCTGATTTGAGTTTGACCATCAGTAGAAGAATAAATAGCAAAGATGAGCAAAGAAATTTCTCGACAAAATTAATCTTAGGCACTAAAAATATACCACAAATTTATGATTTCAACTTAAAACGCCTTCACAAATATTACATCAACATATCATATCATACCTTGTTTGACCCAACATAATCTTCAGTATAAGTGCCTTCTGAATCTCTACATTCACTGGTACAATTCAACAAACCATATCATTCAAAGTTAAAACAATACAGTGTGGAAGACAAACAAAACAAAGATAGTTAAGTTGTGACTGTTTAATGTGGTTATTGTCACTTCGTCTGTTTACTAAAAAAAAAGACTAAACTGGTAACGGTACTTCTCTCAGGAGCTTATAGTGTTTTTTCCAAATGCTACTTGAAGTAGCATTTGAGCTTATAGAGTACCATTTTGTTTTTCATTTTCGTAATTGGAAAGAGAATTTATTAAATATATCTTTTTATGTCATTTTATATTTATCCGTTAGTTCAAATGCTAATTTTACCAAATACTTTAAACTCAAAACTGGAACTCTGACAAACCTTGGTACCTTCTGTCGAGTTGTGCGGTAACTAGCTTTTAGTAGACTGATGTGAACACTTGTATCGACAACGACAGAATGGAAAGCATCAAAGTAAACAGGACAATAGGAATGCAATCCTAAAAGAGCTTTAGGCGGGATTTTGTATTCATGAACTGAAGCAGAACATCCATCCAGCGAACTTTGTAAATTAGACCTGCACAATGAACACAATGCAATCCATTTCAAAATCATTTCACTTGACTCAATCGATTGTATTGTATAGTATTTAACTTTCATTTGTTTAATACACCGTTATATCCGAAAAAAGGGAAAGAGAAACATGAACTAACCCAGCTGCAGTCATAGGAGCATGCATCAGTTCAAACTTCAAGATAACATTAGAAGATTCTCTGTCATATTCACCAAAAGCTAGGTAGAACGAGATCATAATAGAAAGGAAAACATCCTGCCTTGCGTATCTAATCTGGAATGGCGGTGTTGAAAAACTGTTGTCCATATCATCAATCATCCAAACTCTACATAAATTGTCAGAACCTACTTCAGGAGCTGCAGCTCAAAGAAAAAGATCGATTCTAAGATTCTACTCTAGCTGAAATACATGCTTATATCAATAAAATAAGAGCAAAGTAATTGCTGAGCATATCAATCTTGTAAGTGTCAAGCTGTGTCATGTATATTGAAAAGAGTACAGCAATCTGAAATAGCAAGCTTAGCGAGCTTACAACAAAATTACAACAATGGAAAACACATTCCAGAAAAATGGAAAATAACAGTAGAATGTTTATGATGATGGTTAAAATAAATTATGATAAAGTTCAAGCTCTATTTGGTTGGATAGTTCAAAAATGCCGAAGTTATTTATAAATATAGAAAGACAACAAAAGAAAAACTTGGTGATAAGTACAGTCCATGCTCCCTAAAGCTGAAACATGAGAAAACAAACATACAACAATCTGACGTTCATTTGATATCAATTAAACTTCAAAATCGTAAGGTTACAAATATTCAGCAAATATTAGGTAGATGCCAGTAATTGAACAAACCCTTTACGACCCTTTTTCCGTAAAAACTCAGAAAACCAATATCCCAAAATAAAGATAAATCATTCACGCTACAACAAGAATAGAGAATAAAAGATTATTTAACTACCATTTACAGAACCACGATGACTCTAAAAACATATCTGGCAAATTTACAACAAGAATAGAGAATAAAAGATTATTTAACAACCATTTACATAACCGTGTTGACTCTAAAAACTCTAAAAACGTATCTGGCAATTTGACATTTCTGGATGTTGAAAAACAAAAACATAGTCATCATACATACACCCCTATGATGACCAGTGTTGTCAATTGAGAGTCTCAGAAAATATCAATTTGTTCAAATTTTGCTGCAGGCTATGGCGTGCCACTATACCGCTAAAAAATGACAATTTATTCAACTTCCACCATGACAGTCACAAATCCAAGTGAACCTGAACTAAGTCTCTTCATTGAAGTAATTAATCTAGCATTACAAAGTACATAACTAAAGAGAATAACAAACAACTACTACTTTACAAGCTTAGGAATACAAGTCACCTTCATACTGAGCAACCCTCGCCGGAATCCCGGGATAAGAATCTTCACCAACCTCCAATCTCATGGTAACCTTAATTTTGTACCATCTGCATAACAAGAATCAGAATAAAAAACCAGAAGTAAAACAAAAAACCAGAAATAAAAATTCTCAAAATTGAAGCTTACCCTTGTTCAAAAAGATCAAGATTATGAAACCTATGAATGTAAATTGCAACTTCATGAACAGCATCAAGCATAGGTAAGTGATCTGGCCTTGAAAGGCCAGGTAGATCAGCATTGACCAACCTTTTGTTTGACAAATTCCTTTGATTCAAACCAGCAAACCATCTCAGTCTCCGAATCATAAGTAGTAAATAAGCACTAGAAGAAGCCGATACAGTAATGTTCAATACCCCAAATCCAATGATCATTCATCCCTTATCCTTTTTTCAATGGAAGTGGGATAGGTACCAAAACCCAACACCTAAAACCTAAAAAAGGAACAAACTTTGAGTCACTCAAAGATTCAACTTGTGATTAATCCAAATTGCAAACAAAACCCATTAGGGTTTTTCGTTAAAAAAACAAACTTTAAACCCTGTGAAATGTGGGTGTATGTATGCCGAAGCGATTGAATGATTGATTAGAGTGAATGAAAAAGGTGGAAAAGAAACAAGAAGAAGAAAAAGGTGAAATATTTTTCATAGAATGAATCGAAAGCGAGGAAACAAGAGAAACAAAAAGGGGACTTTGTTCATGATGAATTAAAAAAAATCATGATTGTGAAAGAACATCATTTTCGTCAACCCTTTTTGCAGGTTGCGATGATGTTAATTAAAAACTAATATTCTGTTTTTTGTTTTTTATTGTGAAATAAAAAGATTAATAATTTAAAAATGGTAACATGGGATGTCGTGTCGGTGAATATTAGGGCGATAATTATGGTACCTGAAAATGGGATCGGTGTCGTTGCCACATTATAACATCTCTTATTTTATCTCTTGGCACCAAGGTAATAATCATAAATTATTAAGGTATAGTACCTCGTTTTTTTTTATATTGTTTTTATTACATGTAGTTATTATTTTTAAAAATGTTTAATATAAATTTCAGAAAGAAATATGAATAGATGTGGTCTCTATTATTTTATTATTTTATGTAGGATCTATTTAAAGTAAAAAGTACACATATATTTCACCAAATAAAAAACGTAGAGAAAATCACAAAAAAGTGGGTTTCCTAACACTCCTGTTGCATTAGTTTTGTGCTGTTGATTTTGGGAAAATGGGAGACAACAGAGGAATAGCTTCATTATTGCTATGGTTAATGATGATAAATGCAAATAAAATTCTAAAATATACTGTGTGGTGTGGAGTAATGGTAATTAAGATGTGTGACACTGAAGTGGGTGCCACAGGACTAGAGGTAGTTGAGCTGGTATTAAGCACTAACCATAATGCTATACTCGAATTTAAAGCTTGCAAATGTATATGTGTATGTATATGTTTATCATATATAACATATTTACGAAAAGATATTTCATCACTGCCAAACTTTTATGGTATCTACATCATTTTTACCAAAATATATCACTTTGCTTTGAGTTATCAACCTTAATGACATAACTGTTGTAGTGCCAAGCTTTTTGCTTCTTTGTCTCATTTTTGCCTAATTCTCTATCTCATGTATTTGTTTCTTGCATTTGATTTGTGGTTGTTTTATGTGTGATGCATTAGACTTTTAAGCATTGCATAAAGCATATTAGTTTTCATGAGTTATCTCTATTGAAGTGTAATTCTAATTTAGTTAGTATTTTATTTAAGGATTATTTAAGAGTTTAATTTGAGATGCGTTTTGGTTTGACACTTCAGCTTCCGAGTGTATATAAATACTAAGCTTTTATTCAGATAGAAAAAGAGAATTAGTTGTAACAAAATTTCAGTTTCAATAAGAGAAGTTAGTTACAAATTTACATTCTCTCTTTTCCATCTTCATCTTCTTTATCTTTAACCTTGTGCACCAACAATTGGTATCTAGAGCTCCGATTCAGATTCAGATCGAGAAACACGAGTGTACGTGAGGCATGCGTGATTGATTCTGCTCATTCAATTCACAGTGAATTGAAGATTTAAATCGAAACAGAATCATATTTATTGATTATGAGGGATTGGAAAACATGAGTATTAGTGAGATTTGAGTGATTTTGCACAAGATCAAAGATGACTAGTAGAAATGGTAGCATGAACACAAAACTTCCAATCTTTGATGGAAAAAATTAGAATTGATGGATGATTCAGATGCCTGTGTTGTTTGACGCTCAAGATGTTCTTGATCTCGTCAATGAAGGTTACACAACAGTTGCAGTAGATGCAACTGAAGGACAAAGAAACACACATAGAGAAACGAGGAAGAAGGATCAGAATGTATTATTCTATATCCATCCGTGTGCGGATACGAATGTGTTTGAGAAGATCGTTGATTCAACAACGGCGATGACTGCATGAGACACACTAGTATGATTCTACGGCAGTGATGCCTCAATGAAAAAGGTAAAACTTCACAATATACATAGGTAATATGAGATTCTCAACATGAAAAATAATGAGAATGTACCTGATTACATCTCTAGAGTGATTCTGATCACAAATGAAATGAAATCTTATGGAAAGTCTCTCTAAATAAGTAATCATTGAAAATATATTGATATCATTTACTCCTCAATTTGATTACATTGTTGTAGCAATTGAACACTCCAAGGACCTTAGCACCATGAGAATTGAAGATCTACAAAGTAGTCTAAAGGTACAAGAGTTGCGTCTGATTGAGAGAACCTCTTAAAGAGAGGTAGAGTAGGCTCTAAAAGCATCTTCTTGTAAGAAGAATCAGAAGCAATCTTGGTTAAAGGCCAATAAGAGACATGGTGGTGGTTATCAGAAGTCATAAGTCTCCAACTCTGATGAGAAGAAACATCAAAAGAGAAAAGAGATGTTTGACAAGAAGAATATTCAATGATACGTTTGTAAGAAGTCTCCAATATATACTTTCATATCATTGTTCATGAGTCATCAATGAATTTACTCAAAAAATGTGTTAAAAAAATGGAATTAAATTTTCAAGATAAGTTTTAATATGTATACTAATATTTGCTAAGTCTTCACTATGCAGTGTGATAAGACAACGTGAATGCGTGTAAAATCACTCTTCTAAATGTTTCCTTTTTAGTGTGATTTATGTTGGTGCAAAGATAGAATAAATGATGAAATAGGAAATATTACTAATAAGAGAATGACGGCTACAAAACATGATATTTTGTTACAATGATTGTCACCCTATTTATAAGCTAAAACTAGGGTTACTAGAATAAGATAAATACTAAAATACCCTCTAACAAACTTAGGGGCTAAGAAAATAGTACAACTAAATAAATATGAATTATTAATAATATTCTAATACCATCCCTTAATTCATATTCCATCAAAACTTGTGACACCAATTCCATCCCTTAATCTGAGAAATTGATCAGTTTTGATAGCTTTCGTCAGAACATCTGCCAACTGCTTCTGAGTGCTGCAGTGTACAACTTCTAACACTCCACTCTGAACTTGATGTCTCAGAAAATGATACTTGGTCTCAATATGCTTGCTTCTCCCATGCAACACTGGGTTTCTAGCAAGATTGATTGCAGACTTATTGTCAATCATCAACTTCAGAGGTTTGTCTACTTTAATCTTCAGATCCTGCAACAGATTCAGAATCCACACAGCTTGGCATGCAGTAACAGCACCTGCAATGTATTCAGCTTCACAGGTTGACAACGCCACAACAGGTTGCTTCTTGGAACACCAAGAAATGGGACCTCCCAGAAATTTGAACAAGTACCCAGATGTACTTCTTCTGTCAACTCTGTCTCCACACCAATCAGAGTCTGAATAACTCAGAAGTTCTGACTCATTATTTCCTCCAGAGGGAAATAACACTCCATACTTCAGAGTTCCTTTGATATACCTCAGAATCCTGACAGCAGCTTGGTAATGGGACCACTTAGGTTTACTCATGAACCTACTAACCATCCCAACTGAGTAGCAAATATCAGGTCTGGTATTGCACAGATACCTCAGAGAACCAACCAACTGTTTGAAGGTTGTAGCATCCACATCCTTTCCTTCAGAGTCTGAATCCAGTTTCTGATTTGTATCAGAAGGTGTGACAGCCATCTTACAATTCTTCAGATCAAATCTCTTCAGAAGTTCTAATTCATACTTGAGCTGATGCAAAATGATACCTTTCTCAGAATATCTGAACTCCATCCCTAGAAAGTATGTCATTTTGCCTAGATCAGTCATTTCAAATTCATTCATTAGAACCTTCTTGAACTTGGCTATCTCCTGTTCAGAACTTCCAGTCAATAGTATATCATCAACATATAAACATACCAGAGTCATATTGCCCTCAGAAGTATGCTGAACATAGACACCGTACTCCATCTCACATTTCTGAAAGCCTTGTTTCTTGAAAAATGAATCAATCTTCTGATTCCAAGCTCTGGGCGCTTGTTTCAATCCATATAGAGCTTTGTATAATCTGTACACCATCCCTTCCTGATTCTTTTTCACAAATCCAGGAGGTTGTGACACGTAAACTTCTTCTTCTAATGGACCATTCAGAAATGCAGATTTTACATCTAAATGCATCAGAGGCCAATTCCTGTTAGCAGCTATTGCAATCACCATTCTGATTGTTTCATGTCTTGCTACAGGTGCAAACACTTCAGAATAATCCAGCCCAGGTTTCTGTAGAAATCCTCTGGCTACCAACCTTGCTTTATGTTTGCCAATTGAACCATCTGGCTTTAACTTCTGCTTGAAAACCCATCTGACGCTGATGGCTTTCTTGTCTTTTGGAAGTTCTGTCAGCTTCCAAGTCTTGTTTCTCTCTATAGCATCAAGTTCTTCTTTCATGGCCTTCAGCCAGAGCTTCTGCTTAAGAGCCTCCTCTGTACTTATAGGTTCAGAGTCTACTAACATGGCACACTGAATAACTTCTCCTTCAGAGTCTACTTCAGTGTCTTGCAACATGTCAAATTCTGCAAATCTTCTGGGAACGCTTCTGATTCTTTGTGGTCTCTGAACTTGTTCAGAGTTTTGAGCTTCAGAGTTTCTAGCTTCAGATGATTGACCTCCAGAGCTTTGACCATCTTCAGAGTCTGGCATATTTCCAGAGTCTGAATTGCCACCAAGATCTGGATTGCCATCAGAGTCTGAATCATCAGAGTCTGGGTCATCAGAGTCACCTTCATCTTCTGAGTCATCTTCAGAGTTTGAATCAGTATCAGAGTCAGAGTCAACGTCAGGGTTTACTTCAACTT